GTGTCATTCATCTTCCATCTGAAGGAGCCAGTTGGTGTTAGTCTCATTTCCATCTTAACAGCGTTGTGGTCGGAGCAAATTTTCGGGCAGATTTCCACCTTTTTTGTCTTTGGTGCCATTCCTCTAGTTATCCAAATTTGGTCAATTCTTGTCCAAGTCATTTTGGCTTCAGAAAAGAAAGTTCCCTCTTTAGCCAAGGGGTTTCTAATTCTCCAAATGTCCACTAGATCCAAGTTGTCTGTCATATCAAAAAAGGTTTTCGGTAGTCTACCATCCTTGGTGACTACCTGTCTTTGTGCCTTGTCCATATAAGTAGATACCACTCCATTCATATCTCCCATCAGAATCGTGTTATAATCCATATGGTCCATCAATGTCTCATGCAACTTCTTAAAAAAATCAGATTTCCCGTCATTTGGTGCGTAAACTCCTACAATCAAAAATTTTTCTCCTTGTGTTTGAATTTCAATTGCCACAAATCTTCCTTGGTCATCTTTAAAAACAAATTTTGGTGATAAATTGTCTTTTGCGTAGATCACAACCCCTCTCTTTTTAACTTTATCCGACGAAATAAATTCCTGACCAAGTCTTTTATTTATCAACAATTTCCTGTGTAATCTTGTTATATGTGTTTCTTGTAAACAAATTAGGTCCAATTGTTCCTTTTTAAATATATGAAATACTGACTTCCTTTTCTGAGGGGAATTCAAACCCCGGCAGTTCCATGTTAAAAGTTGCAGGGCCATGATGTTATTGTTTTAGTTCTCCTCCTACTGCACCTAGTGCCTGTTCCTCATCCGTCGGTGGTATCCCTTCTTTCGAATGGTCTTTTGGTTCCGGAAATAGTTCTTTTTGTAAATCTTCTCCGTGGTCTCTGCAAAATTTGTCTTTGTCGTCTTCCGATCTTATTTTCCTCTTCTTTCCTTTGTAACTAAAAGACAGGCCTTGAGGAAGTTCCCACCTAAAGTTGATATTGTTCCTTCTCAGCAGGGTAACCAAGTCTTTATATTTTGATCTGAGATCCAGAAGGTATTTCAGAATATCTTTGAATATTTCCACCCTTGTCCGATGGATTTCCAGTGTCTTCTTGAAATGTAGGCCCAAAATCTTATCCCTCTCTTCTTTTGTTTGAAAAGTAATCAGACAGTCTCTCACCTTCTTCTCTCCTCTTCTCCCAAGTCTGAAAGCATTTACTATTCTGAAACTGTCTTTTGCCAGTTCTGGATCCCAAAAGTCCAAAAATTCCTGCGTGAGATATTCAGCTAAATTGTCCTTTTCCACCTCAGGTACCGATCTGACCCGCAAATTCACTTGCTTTTCCTTCAAATCTATCATAGACAGGGTCAATTTATGGTCTTCCAGTTGTTTATGCAGTGTTGGTAATTCCTCTTGAACCTCTTTAATCTCAGTAGCCGAAGTTGTAGCGATTTCTTTAGCCTCTTCAGCAATCTGGCATGTTGAGGCCGATTCCTCTAATAATTTCTGAATAGTCTCTGTGTTAGTATTTACTTTCTGGCCCAAATTATTTATACTTGCAGTATTTTGATTAATCTTGTCACATGCCTCTGCTACTTGTTGGCTTATTCTATTTAAAGATTCATTAACCTTGGCCAAGACTAGAGCAAAGGCATCATCACTTGTCGTACCTTTTGCTTTTGGTTGTGCCGATGAGGCTGTTGTTAAGGTTCCAGAGGGGCCTGAGGCCGAGGATCTCCTTTGTAATCCTTCTTCTGTTCGAATAGGCCTTCCCAATCTTGTTGTCGATGCATCCGCTTTCTCTTTACCATCTGCCATTCCTTAGATAATGCTCAAGGTCAGTCACACAGTTGAAATCAAACAGTGGAAATTTTCCAGCAAGCAGTGTGGGAATTCCTCAAGTCAGCTACAGTTTCAATTATTACCAGTTGTAACAATTCCAAGTTCCACTAGGGGGACACTGTAACAATCATAAAAGTTCTTGGATACTTTAGTTTCTTTTTTAAGTCCCCCCAGTTTATTCAGGAAGATAACAGTCTATACAAAATATTAACTTAGGACCAGGAGATATATATTCACATAAAATGTCCAGACTTTTATTTCCTGTGCAGGACTAGCTGTCAAAATATATTGCAAGACAGTACCTCTCTTTCTTTTCTAAATTACCTCTGGAGATCCTTTCCCAGGGAATTGAACGATGGTTTAATCCCTTCTATTCCACTTCTTTATGAAGAAATCACATCCACAATTCTCCCCCCTTTTCCCTCAGTTTAAAGAGGGAAAAGTCCAGGTTAGATGATTGGATTAAAGTCCGCTAAAACGTGCTTTTCAAATGCTTCCGCTTTCAAGTTCAATGCTTTATTTTATCTACAAGGAAAGAGGCTGACTTCCTTTTTGTACCTCTTTCCGTTTTCGGCCAGATTCCAGTTTGTACAGTTCCAATTAGACTATATCCTACTCACGGATCGTTGATTTTCAGGTCCGAATTTCAAGGAAAAAAGGCAGCGCTCTCCGGTCAACAGCTTGCGGCTTCACACCACGAACGAGCAGACAGCCCACAGCACAGCGCTCTCCCCCCGCTCCGATTTCGAGCCCGTTGCTGGGCTTTTTACCGGGTTGGGGGGGCGCCAAATGTGCCCGCTGGGTCCCAGGCTCACAGGCTTCTCCCGCCTGTGATTTTTGAGGGTCCCCCGCTACGCCGAAAGCAGGATCTGACCCTTAATTCGCGGTGAGATTTCCTCCGGTCGAGGAAATCCGCCATTAACCGCTGGCGCCGCCTCCGGAAGTCCATAAAACAGAAAATTTAATAAAAATTATAGATCGATAGATGATAGATAGATAGAGATTGATAGATGATAGATAGATAGATAGATGATAGATAGATAGATAGATAGATGATAGATAGATAGATGACAGATAGATAGATAAATAGATAGATAATGACTGCTCCCAGCTGTTCTTACACAATAAATAAAATGAGCAAATTCAGTACAAAGGGTCATTTGGAAAGGAATTGAAATTAAAATTGCCCAGATCAATATACAGCAGTGAGAATGCTCTGTACAGTTCTGGTCACTTCACCTCAAATAATATTGTAGAGTTGGAAAATGTTCTGAAACGGGCGACCAAAATGATAATGGAGGTGGAATAACTCCCCTCTGAGGAAAGGTCACAGCATTTGCAGCCTTTCATTTCAGAGTGAGACCTTGTCAGCAAAGAACACTTGTGCTCTGAAATCTTCACCGGTTGCCAATTTGCTCCCGGGCCAAGTTCAAGGTGTTACTATTCATATATAAAGCCCTGAAGAACTTGGGACCAGTTTACCTGCAAGATTGCCTTACCCCATATATGCCCACCCAACCTCTCCAATCTGCAGAACTGGCACTGTTACAGGTGCTGTGTGGTATTTGTTCCACATTGGTAAGAAATCAATCTTTCAACATGGCATCACCAACACGCTGGAAGTCCCTGCCTATTAACATTAGACTGGCTCCATCACTGTACTCTTTTCAGCGCCTGCTGAAAACATTTTGGTTTAGATAAGCCTACTCAGATATGTAGAAATTTGATGTGTCTTTTAATGTTTTTAGTTTATCGCTGATTTAATCTTTTGAATATTTTAAAGTTTTTATCAACAATCTTATTCTTTTATTCTTTTTGAGCTTTGAGATTTTCTATGATATGTATACATTTTATGAAATAAAAAAATTAGAAAGAGAAATAACTGTTCCATTAATTATGGAATACCTTGCCTGAGATCTGTCCAAAGTTTGCGACAATTAGCTATTACCTCCATTGTGGGAAAGTTGGGACAGAAAGGTTGTAATGAGCTTATCTTATGTTATTGGCCTTCGGGAGTTTATTTGTTTGTTTAATATACTTCCAACTGTAGGATTCTGAAGTGGAGGCTGATGTTCTCCTAAAACAATGAACAAAAAATATCAGGCAACCCTACTGGGGATAATTCACTTCTTTCAGAGAAAAATAAATAGTACCCTAATTGACTTGAGAATTAGATAATGGCAGGACATGGAAGAGGGTGCTGCTTTGATTCCACTGTAATTTCAGTGAAGGCAGAAGGTTTAAACACCTCTTTCCACCCTAGCACACAAATCAGATTCATGCTAAGTACCATTGCTATTCTGGATTTAAAAATGGACAAAGCTGAGTGGGGCAAAAATAATACTGTCCCTCCCGCACACTAATATTTAATGGGACTGCACTTAACTCGTTCCTGTTTGGTACCAAAATCCCAAGAAAGGACATTGCAAGCAGGTGCACCGCATTGACTTTTGACTGTGGTTGTGTGAGTCCGAAGAAACCTAACCAGGTAAGAAGAGATTATGTTACAGATATAGTCAGTAACAGACAGGTTCTTTCCATGTTGGTCTCAAAGTCAGATTCATGGCTGAACAAGGGTTTGAACCCAGTTTTGAGCCCACCATCCCATCTGGTTTTCACTACAGGAGAGATGGACTATGCAGCCTCCAAAGCTCTGAGGATTGGGAAATAGAAAGCTGCAGTTGAGAGATGAGGAACCTCCCTCTTGTTCAAAACTGTGTTAGTACGTCATGGGGGGGGGGGACAAAGAGTTTTTCGGCACCTTAAAGAATAATAAATTTATTATAAGTTTTGTGGACTCAGGATAACATGGGATGTCTCTGATTAAGTGGTCTGTACTCCATGGAAGCTTATGTCATGATACCTTTGTTACTCTTCAGAGTACCACAAGACTGCTTTTGTCACTTTTTTAAAAGCACAATAGCACTTGTCCATTTCACAGTGGAGAAAGGGTCCATTCCACAAAGACTGGCTCTCCCTTACATTGGTTCATTCATTTTTCCAAGGCTTTGGAAACAACGTTCTCTTCCTGCAATGTTGTGGAGCTACAAATCTGGCTAGCTTATTAAAGGGAAAAGATGAAGATGAGCAGTAGCCTGGCAACTCACCTTCTGAACATTCGCACCGAGTTTATATCCCCAACAGCATTATGGATGAAGACCTGAAGCTAGAGATAGACAGTGGGAGAAGGGCCATAGCTCAGTGGTAGAACATCTGCTTTGCATGCAGAAGGTCTCTGGTTCAAACCCTCACATCTCCAGCATGTGGTGGAGGAAGAAGGGACAGTATCAGGCAGAGTCCTATGTTCCTACACTTGGGGGGTTTTTTAGTGCTTTGCGTGAGGTACACACCTCATGGCTGAAATATGAAGGGCAGACCAGCAGAGATGGATAATCTTTCCAAAACAGCAATGTGAGGGAATTTCCTTAAGAACATAAGAAGACCCTTACTGGATGAGACCAAAGGCATCATCCAACATCCTCTTTCCCACAGTGGTCAACCAAACGCCTATGGGAAGCCCAGAAGTACCTCCTGCTATTGTGCCCCCAGTGACTGGCATTGGGAGGCCCACTCCTCTGATCCTGAAGACAGCATATCTAGCCATCGTCACAAGTAGCAGGCACTATCGCCTCAACCTCCACGAATTTGTCTAATCCTTTTTCAGTTTGTGACCTTTAGCACACCTAACGGTAGTGATTCCCCTTGTTTGAAAAAACTGTGTGAAGTCCTTCCCCCACCCCAACCCGTCCTGAATCTCTTGCTTTTTTGCTTCACTGGATGACCTGGGCAGCTACGATGATGAAGGAGGGAATAAATAAGACTTCTCTCTGGGCTCATTCACACTTCTGTTTGTCCTGTGAATTCTGAGCGTGGGTTGGGGAGGTTTTTATTTCATCCCACTGCTTTCCCTGGGTGGGAAAACCCACAGTTTATTGCTGAATCAAAACAAATGGCAATCGAGTTTTCTGCAGATGGATGTTTGTTCTGATTCAGCAATAAACAGTGGGTTTTCTCAGGGAAAGTGACAGGATGGGGAAAAAATAACCTCTCATACCTGTGCCTAGAATTCACAGAGAAGAAGAAGAGAAGAGTTTGGATTTGATATCCCGCTTTATCACTACCCTAAGGAGTCTCAAAGCGGCTAACAATCTCCTTTTCCCTTCCTCCCCCACAACAAACACTCTGTGAGGTGAGTGGGGCTGAGAGACTTCAGAGAAGTGTGACTAGCCCAAGGTCGCCCGGCAGCTGCATGTGGAGGAGAGGAGACGCGAACCCGGTCCCCCAGATTAGGAGACTACCACTCTTAACCACTACACCACATCACAGAACAAAGGTAAGAGTGGATGAGCCTTAAGTCCACTCTCTCCAGACCAATCACAATTGTATCACACTCATCCCCCTACCAAAAACCCCCACATTTTTTGCAAATTCCTTTTTTTTAGCCCAGATACCACAGTAGTAGCAGGATGCCTATATAAAATGAACAGCTCGTGCTGCTGGGGAAATCGTCTGACTATGAGAAAACACCGAGCAAAACTATTCGCTTGTGAGACTAAGGGGAGACAGCTGGCTGCCCTGATTTCTCCCTGTGGTTCTCACTCGTGGGCTTGTGTAGTGGGACCAATGCAATGGGTTGCTGCCAGGACTGGGTAAGGCTGCTCATCCATGATAAAGGAAGGCTGGCCACTTCAGTAATGCCACCAGGGGCTAGGGGTCCTGGTCGATACTGGGTGTGTGGAGATGTCTATTGACCTGAGTTTGGTTGGCAGTGGGGTCACTGCAGTGTGGGCCCTGTGCACAAATTAATTATCAAGCTAGGAAGACGATGAAAGGAAATGCAACATGAACACAGGTCTTGATGTAACTCTACTACATTATCGACTATATTATTACATTCAGTTTTAGGGTCTCAATTCCTGCTTATAAAACAAAGTAGGGGTACAGGTGATTACTACACCGCTAACAACAGCAATTCAGTGTATTATACAAAAATTGAAAAATAAAAATCCCCCTGCCATAACTGACTGGTTAGGGCAAACCTGGCAAACTATCTGAATGATTAAACTTACATAAAAGGGAATACAACCCCTCCTAGCGGTGCAGCAATAAAACTGCCAGGATATTTGCTAAGCTAAGCAGGGTCCAGTATGGTTTCAAATTGAAATTTGAAATTGAAATTGAAATTCAAAGCCTTAATTTATAATATGGAAATTTAATTCAGTGTGTGGCGCATGGGTTCTGTGTTGCAGCCCTCTTGGCCTGAGAGGTTGAGCTGCCCTGAGGTAAATGATGATATGTTCCCTCTTAATTTATTCACTGTACTATAGAGGGTTTTTTTTGCTATTTTGTCTCTTTCCCCAATCACGTGTCATGTTCTATCTTTTTTCCTTTCTATGCCATTTGCTTTCTTTTTCTTCTTCACAAGGAAGAATGCTTAATGTATAATGGTTTTGGCTACAAATTGTAAAAAATATAACATGAATAAAATTATTTAAAATAAAATAAGGCAGGGATAAGGAACCTGTGGCTTTCCATGGGTTGTTGTACCCCAGTTTCCACCAACCCCAGCCAGCATGGCCAACAGTCAGGGATGATGGGAGTTGTAGTCCAGCAATATCTGGAGAACTACAAGTTCTGTATTCCTGAATAAGTGGTGATTATAATGACTTAAGCATTAAGTATGCTGTGAGGGGGAAACACAGATTAATCGCATGATGTTTAAAATAGTACTAATAATTACAAAGCATCTATTTCATATTCATGCAGTGGCATTCTATATTGTTGTTGTTACTTTTATTATTACCTGCCTTTTCCCTAGAACTCAAGGTGTACATATAAAGTATAATAGTTAAAAAGAAATTCAATTATAATCCTATAAAAATGATATAAGAACAAATTGTTAAAACACATAGTAAAAACAACAACAGCACCACACTATTAAAAGCCTTTCCCTTAAAAAAAGACATTTCCCCAAAACTTGTTGCAATTGAATATTCTTCACCTGCAGATGGAAGGACAACAAGGAGGGAGCCCGTTTTACTTCTCTAGGAAGGGAGTTCCAAAGTCTGGGAGCCACCACCAAAAAAGGTCTTCTCTCTTCTCCTCACCAAGCATGTCTGTGAGGGTGACGGGACTGGAAGAAGGCCTCTCCCAAAGATCTTAGAGCCCGGGCAGGTTCATATGGGAGGATATTGTCCTTCAGACACCCTGCATTTGTGGTGATTGCCACATTTACAGTACAGTGTAACATAGATGTATGGAGAAAGGAGTGAAACATCTGAGGTTGATAATCATGCCAAGAATTTGAGTACCACACATTCCAGTGAAATAACTGAGAACAGCATATTGATGTTTAACCCACTGTTTCTTTTGTACAGTGACTGATGAGATGTCCTTGGCACTTGCAAAACAGAGCAACCAATCCATTGCCTATGAGTTTATCTTCCGGGCATTCTCCACCGTTCCTGAGATCCAAGCTCTCCTCTTCACATTCTTCCTTCTGCTCTACCTCATCATCCTCTTTGGCAATGTCTCTATCATCTGGGTGGCCTGCACAGATCATTCCCTACACGTCCCCATGTATTTCTTCCTGGGCAACCTCTCTTTTCTGGAGATCTGTTACACCACTGTAACAGTGCCTCAACTGCTGTCCAGCATCTTAGATGCCCACAGACCAATCCCATTTGCAAGCTGCGGCATACAGATGTTCTTCTTTCTGGCACTAGGGGGCACAGACTGTTTCATGTTGGCTGTCATGGCATATGACCGTTACGTTGCCATTTGCCACCCACTTCGCTACAGCCTCATCATGACCAGGCAGATATGCACATGGCTCGTGGTTGGCTCACTAATGCTTGGTATTGTGGTTTCATTGGAGCTGACAGTGCTGATCTTCACCTTGCCTTTCTGTGGCCACCAGCCCGAAATCAACCATTTCTTGTGTGACGTGCCACCTGTGTTGCGCCTGGCATGTGCCAACACCCATGTCCACCAGACTGTGTTGTACAGTGTTGCTGTCACAGTCCTGACTATTCCCTTTATTATAATATGCATCTCCTACATCTACATTGTGACTGCCATCTTGCGGATCCGCTCAACAACTGGGCGGCAACAGGCCTTCTCCACCTGCTCCTCCCACTTGACAGTGGTGATCATCCAGTATGGGTGCTGCAGCCTTGTCTACCTGCGTCCCAAGACAGATTCGTCAGAGGATGACGACCGCCATCTTGCTCTCATATACACTTTTGTCACTCCACTGCTAAACCCCCTCATCTACAGCCTGAGGAACAAGGATGTCAAGCAGGCTCTAAAGAAGGTGATTAGGACCAGAGCTGGAACTAGGGTGGGGTAAGCAGGGTCCTTACCATGGGTGCCTGATTCAAGAGAGGAGCCACACTGAGAACAAATATTTTTAGAACTGGGACTTTACCAGAGGCCAGTGGGATTGCTATTATTGACATGTAGGTATGTTTGTAGACCTAATGTTCTCCCTGAACCTCAGGTCATAGCTTTGACCAGCACACACAATATTTGGTGGTGTACAGCAAGATTTACAGGATAAATATAATACAATTAATCACAAAATTGAATAATTAAAAAAATGGCTGGTTCGTCTTAAAAGTTTAAACCACAGAACAGGCCTGTTGACAGCATTCCCACGGAGATTCAACAGGTGTCTCATACCTGCACTTTACAGAAATGAAGACTTTTTTGTTTAGGCAAGCTTTCCTAGATGGAAGTCTCTGCCACAGGTGACCATTTTGCACAGTGTTTGAAATTATTTTCTGTTACTCTTGTGTTGTTTCATCACTGTGTCTTAGTTGGTCCGTTCTATTTTTACATAGCCTTGAGGGAAAGTGATCAATAAATAAAAACAACAGCCACCACAATAATAATACAAACAACTGCTCAATTAGTTCTTGACTACCTTGGATGGAAGCTTCTTTTCTACTGCTCTGGAAGGTAGAACTTGAACCAATGGATTCAAGTTACAAGAAAGGAGATTCTGACTATCAGGAAGAATTTCCTGATCTATGAGCTGTTCAATAGTGGAATGGTCCCCCTCGGGAGCTTGTGGACTCCAGGGGTGTAGTGGGGGCCCGTGGCACTCCCATGACAGGCTCCCTCAGTTGCCAAGCTATGCCCAGGCTGGGCCTTCAGGGCTGGGACAGCAGCAGGGGTGCCTCTTTCTCCTCATGGCCGGTGAAGGGATGTCCACACACCTGTCACCCCTGGGCAGACGACAGAGAGGGATGTGGT